TTTTTTTTCATCTTACTACTAGCATGAATGATGTCTAAGAAGTTGCTGAGAGCGCATGTGCAGCGTTATACTACTTTCTGGCGATTTTTAAGCGGGCACCCAAGCAAATAGTGCCGAATGTACTGTGCTTTTTGCCTCCTCTTTGCAGCGTGACTCAGCGAGCAGATTGTAGTGAGTATGTGAAAACAGTAGCCTATGAGTCAATCAATATAGTTATGGCATGTGAATTTATTGTAACAACGCAGGCGGGATTAAAGTTGCAAAAACACGGAACAACTTCATATGGGGATGTGTTCACTGCTCTTCAATTGGTGGTGGAGGCTCGTGCAAAACATTCTTCTTGTCCCTTGACTCCGGTGTGTGAAAATATGCTCCAAGCATTTTGAGATGGGTTTCGAATCAAGCGTCCCAAGCCACCATCTGGTTTTCCCCCATCAGCCTGCCAGTAGTGATGGATGGAGGCACTTGCCTCCGTTTGCTTGCACTACTTGTTGAGGACCGTGTGGTGGATTCTATAATGCCATTTCTTTTTAACAGTACAAAAGCACCATAGGCTGGGGACAATGTGGTGGACTCTGTCAAGGATAACTTGGCAAGAATTGATTGCAAGCAGATGGAGCTAATTATTCACGCATTTGGTTCCATTTCGGAAGGCTCAACCGAAGGAAAACTAATGTAAATTGCTTGCACTACTAGTTGAGGACCGCGTGGTGAATTCTATAATGCCACTTCCATTTAACAGTACAAAAGCACCGTAGGCTGGGGACAATGTGGTGGACTCTGACAAGGAATACTTGGCAAGAATTGATTGCAAGCAGATGGAGGTAATCATTCACGCATTTGGTTCCATTTCGGAAGGCTCAACCGAAGGAAAACTAATGGAAATTGCTGTTTTGATTTTTTATCATATGCTAGATGCCTTGAAAAATGGTCCAAGTGACTATATGAAGGTGATTGCGGCATGGGCTTTGGCAAAGTTATTCCAGTCTGTCCCTCGTACACATTTGGAGATACCCCAAATAATCAAAGAAAGATGCAGAACTATTTTTTTTTTTCATCTTACTACTAGCATGAATGATGTCTAAGAAGTTGCTGAGAGCGCATGTGCTGCATTATACTACTTTCTGGCGATTTTTAAGCGGGCACCCAAGCAACTAGTGCCGAATGTACTGTGCTTTTTGCCTCCTCTTTGCAACGTGACTCTGCGAGCAGATTGTAGTGAGTATGTCAGAACAGTAGCCTATGAGTCAATCAATATAGCTATGGCATGTGAATTTGTAGTAACAACGCAGGCGAAATTAAAGTTGCAATAACACGGAACAACTTCAGATGGGGATGTGTTCACTGCTCTTCAACTGGTGGTGGAGGCTCGTGCAGAACATTCGTCATGTCCCTTGACTCTGGTGTGTGAAAATATGCTTCAAGCATTTTGTGATGGGTTTCGTATCAAGTGTCCTAAGCCACCATCTGGTTTTCCTCCATCAGCCTGCCAGTAGTTGACCATTCAGTTTTAGCAAGACATCTTAGACATGCCAACATTGTACTTGGAACAAAGAAACACATGTTGATTTTGGATGCCATTGTACTTTGCTTTGTGGTTTGATTTATTTATTTATTTGACAGTGTTAAAAATTCACATAAATATTTATATTATTTTAACTTATCCAAAATATTATTTGATGATTCGACAAATGAAATGAATTGGAAATCAGTTCAATTTAAGTTTATTTAATTTCAATATATATTTGATGATTCTAACAGTACAGATGGATAGAAAATTACCCCAAATTCTTAACCTATTTTTGGGAATGATATGATCCAAAAATTTATTAAAAAGAAAGATACTGAATCCCCTCCCTTGCACGCGGTTGATTCATTGGCTGCCAAAGTCCTGTTGTTATTATTGTCATCATCCGAGAATACTCCAACTTGGCCTTGGAACGTTGCAGTAGTAGCTCTGGACATTGGGTTCTGGAATTTTCACGTCTTTCGACTCAAGCCTATACCTGTAGCAAACCAAAATCTCGAGCACAAACACATCTGTGGTGTTACCATCCGAGATTTTGTTGGCCAAGTCATCAGCCACGTAAGCATCGAGCGTGGAGAGTTTGAAACTAACTAGTGTTTGGTTTGTGGTGGTTAGAAGCAAGGGACGCAACGACGTTGCTGCCAGCAGCACACGTTGGTACTTTTGATCTAGCTCCGTAACATGTTGGTAGACGGGACTGTTGTAGAAGAGCGAGGCCTGGAGGCTGTCACAGTAGATGTCCCACTTCTTGTTGGGGTTCATGGCTAGGAGCGTCAGGTTCCATATGGCGGTGAACTCGGAGGGGGTATTGTTGCGTGGGTATTGCAGGGCCGCTGAGTGGACTAGGAACTCAGGGTCATACGCTCTTGGACGGGTCAACAACAAGGTGAGGGCCAATGGGGCTAGAATGAAATAGGGGACCACGATACACATGATGCAAAAGAACGTTCCCTCACAGTCGAAGAAGGGTTGCCGTATGGGCTGATCATTAGAAGCGGAAGCCGGGATTAAGATGTTGGTGGCTGTTTGGACTCCGGTAACCATGATTTTAGAGATGTTGGTGGCTTCTCGGACTTCGGCTTTGGCTTTGGCTTTGGCTTCCGGCCGGTAGTACTAGTACTAATAGTGGCCAAGCAACCATGATTTTAGAGAGATTATTATTCAATATTTCATGGGATAATTAGATTTGACTTGGGATATATTAGAATTAGATTTAGATTGTACCAACCTTAATTATATAATTATCTTGTATATTAAGACATTTTTGTTTGTTTATCTTTTAATATATATATATATATATATATATATTTGTTTGATTACGATAGACTAGTCAAGTCAAACAACTCCTCCAGTTATGGTGAAAATGAGTTTGTCATTAGACTAGAGACTAGTCACATACCTATTGCAATTGTGAAAAAAGAATTAGGATGTTTTTTTAAGAATAGAACCTCAATCGTGTTATAAAAAAAATAGAAAACTTTGAGCATTGTAGAACTTATAAACGATGTCTCAAAGAACTGCCTTATTTAAATTATGAAATTGGTGGAGCACTAAGGCAAATGCTTCTCAATTCAAAATCATCAACCAACAATGCTTTCTTTGGAAGGCATGTCTGACTAAGGCCAATGCAAGCCTTGTAAGTGGGTCTAATCTAAGTAATGTGGTTAGTACCCATTTTATTTGAGCTTTAAATTTGTTATTGCAATTTTATTCAAGTCCTAACTCTTCTTAAATAGACTTCAAAAAATAGTGAAAACAAATCAAGATTACAGGAAGATATGATGTAGGGTAAAGGAAAATTTCCATTCAGAAAATAATGGCAACAAGACAAGAGGGATAATAATTCAAGGAGGAGATGAGGGGATAGAGGAAGTGCAGAGAATCCAATAAAGGAGGAGATGAGGAAATAGAGGAGATGGCACAGATGTAAGAAATAATTACTAGAAAACAAGAGGAGATGGCCACCAAGTCAAAAAATAATTCAAGCCATGTGGGATAATGGCCTAAAAGTTCACTTTAATTGAAATAAAATTAAGTTTGTCAAATTTTTATTTTTTTTAGGTTAAAATGTTCTGAAAAACAAATCATGAAGTTATAAACAAAAATTAGCTCAAGAATAATTAACCACAAAAAATTAAACTATTTTTAAACAATTTAATAAGGCTATGTTCTCAAAAAATTTGAGTTTGGAGGGTTGGAGGAAAAAACTGTTTGAGTTCGGGCAATACATGAATAGTTGTATTTTGAAAGGTGAAAATTTGGGTTTAGCCCCTTTAGCATTGGAGATGGCCTAAAGCTGAATAAAGGGCTAAAAGCCCAGAGAGGAACTCAATTGCGTGTAAATGCAGCCTCTTGTATTGTAGCTCTATGAAAATAATAGAACAGTGCTTCCAAAAGCCAAAATAATTTTCTTTTCCCTTTCATTCAGCAGTGAACTACACTTGAAAGGAATCAAGCATGGCTTTTAGAGTCTTCTGAGAAGCTTGCCATTGCTTGTCACTTGCACTTACCACAAATAATACAACAGTGTTTCCCTTGGCTGTTGCCTTTGCAAGATTGTGAGAACCTGTAAGAGCAAACGGGGTCTCCAGCGCATACTTGTAGTACTGCATACAAAAACAACAGAGGAAAGCTTGCATGAAATTGCTACCAACGGAAAGAATTCATGTTCAGGTAAGGGTAGAAAAAGAGAGAGCTTCTTAAGCATACACAAAAACAGAAAAAATCAACATACTACAATGTGATGAGGAAAACATGGAGGAAAAATGAGAGTATAAGACGATGACAAGCTGGATGGCCAAGAAAGATTGTACCGTCAGATCGCCGCGCTTTTCAACTGTCGTCTCAAGAAGCTCATCTGGATCATATGTGTTTCCTGTAACAAAAGGGCCAAGAGAAGCAATCACCTTCTCAGGGTTGCCAATATCTTCAATTGTTGCGTTGGGTTTATTTGTCAGGCGTATCAAAGGTGAAGCCACAACCTGAAGTTTTCCCTGTTTTTCGTCTTCAAATTTTACCTCCACCCAGGGCTCTGCACACTTTGGCTGGCAGTAATTACCAGATAAAATGTTTGCCACACGCATCTGTTTCCAGGTTGGGGGAATAATGAACTGGTAAGGCTGCACATTTCCTGCAAAGAACAGAGTTTCTAGTATCAATCATCAAAAGAGATAAAATTTCAACTAAGAAATGAGTTGATGTTATTAATTTTCTCTTATAATTTTTAGAATTTGATCCAGATAAATGCACCAAGAGCATAGACCAATAACAAACCCAAAATCCTAAAATCTGCGCTGGAAACTTTGGAGGGTAAAAATGAAACTACAAACTCAGGAAACTACCCACGGAAAAGCAACTTTGTATGGACAAAACAAACATCATTTGTACTCCAGCTTCAAGAAACTGCAGCTCTCTGAAGTGATCCTTTTTTTTTTTAATTAACTGGAAAAAAGTTATGTATATTCTATTAGTATAT